CCTACAATGAATTCGGCCAGGCCTTGTAACAGAGGCTAGGCTGAACCCATGTGGTTGATGTGTAGATCAATGTTTAGGTCTCACGCCATACAAGGAAATCCAACTGGGCACCAGTTTGGAAGGTTAGTGAGCACATGGACTTAATGGGCCTAAAGCCCAAATCGAACTTGTTTGATTTGATTAATTAAAGAGGGGCGATTCTGGGATTTAAATCAGCAGATAAGATAGGGAGTTATCCCTATCCACTCAGAGAGTCCAAATCCAAATAATGATTTGGATTAGGAAACTCCTAATAAGATTAGGAGGGTTGATCTTAACCTGCAGATAAGATAAAGGTTTATCCTTATCTCTTAAAGAGAGTCCAGATTCAAATAAGGATTTGAATTAGGAAACTCTGAGATTAGGAGTTGCTCCCTTTAAGGCTATAAAAGGAGGAGGAGGGCGAGCCTCCATACACTCAATCTGATCTCAAGAGAGAAAGAAAGTTACAGTAAAACTGCGCCATCTTCTGCTCTTGCCTTCTCCTCTTGCTGCCACCATTGTCAGTTCGTTTTCCACTAATAGGAGCGATCAAGAAGTGTTATTGATATCAGTTTTTTGAGAAAAACTGATATAAAATCGTACTCACATACCCTCATTGAATTCTTGCTAAAAGATTCGGTTCTTGTGAAAAACCACCTGTTGATTCTGCTCCACCCTACACTGTGTCATCTTCAGTGAAAGTAGTATTTGGAGATTTCCTTGGACGTGAATATCTTCATTGGGAGTTATTATTTCTCCATATCAAGTATCTCCCTCTCCTAACTTTTGGTTTCAGATTTGGTTTAATTCTTGATTCAAGATTAACCCTTGAAAAATACAATTTTTCTAAAACAGGGAATATAATTCCCATATAAGAGAGATAAATTTTTAAAATTTCACCATACTTTCTATTGGATTCGACTATCCATACGATGGATCTTTCGATCATGAACACCAACAACGTGACCCCAAAATCACCAAAATTACTAGCATCCAACTTTTTCCGGCCTCCATATTATCTCCACGACGAAAGTTCTATGGATCAAGAGATGTAGGCAACGTCATCCTGGTCCACTTGTTGTCAAAGTAATGTCCCACCGCTCGTCAAATCATCAATCCATTCAACAATGAAATGATGTTCTTTGAGCACGTCCATACGTAATAAACCATCCAACCTGTTTTCGGTTTTCCAAACCACTGCAACTGGTTGCTGAATACAGTAATGGATGGTGCAAACTGTAATCCTGGTTCACATTTATATCGCACTCTTCTCCTTCTTCAAACCTAAAAAAAGATTACAGAGATTCCAACAATGCAAATGTCCTCCTTACACACACATCATCATCATTGTAAGATTTACCAAAATCTCAGCTTCTGTACGCATCATGATCCCTTCCATCTCTACTTTGTCTCTTCCATTCGCACTTGACAGAGAAAAGCCAAAAATTAAAACTACCGAAATGCCCCCAGTTTCCTCGTTTAACTATCAAGTTCACCAATGAACAGAATGATGAAGAAACGCCGGTACTGGATGAACTTCTATGTGAAGAGGCCAACGCAGATGGAAACCCAGAGCGCTAGGACCCAAACTCGCTTCCAGTTGTCCTCTAGGAAGTAGGCCGCCTTCCGGTAGTATTGCTTGCTGGGGTTGGGCTCTTTGGTCAGAACCAGCTTCTGGCTCAGTAATTGGCTGAGGTTGCGATTCTGGGTCATCCCCAGATTCGTCAATTGGCTGGGTGCTTGCAGAAGCAGCATCTCCAAATTGTAGACCTGTTAGACAGTCCTATACAAACATCGTTAACACAATCCAGAAGCTATGAACAGACTCTACAGATTTATGTAGATTTTAGATCTACTTGCTTGCTCGAAGAAACCATTAACCGACCTCAATGTAACCCAGGTTATCAAGGTCCGACACTTTCTGCGAATGGTTTGTTTACCGCTAAAGCCAGACAGGAGTAGAAACCTTGAAGAAGAAGCCATGGAAGTCCCGGTTTTCAGAGGAAGTGATGAGAAAGAGAGAGTGGAGAGATATTGACACTTGCCAGTAGAGAGATATAGAATATTAACACTTGTTTCCCATGCAATATATATATATATATATATATATATATATATATATATTTATTTATTAAAATTATTTCATACGTGTGTGATAAAAGATTTTATTTACTCAAACAATAGAGTGCCACGAATACACCAATCGTATATATTATTCATAATAGCATTTGGCAGACAGTTCTCGAACTGTTACATGCAGGCAACATGGTATGACCTGGTTTGTCAGTCATTTTGCTTTTACCCTCTACAAATATTTAACTATATATTTTTTGAACAAATATGTAACTATATATAGGACAATTAATAGGTCGACCAAAACATAGATAAGCTTTATTAGATGTTTTAACCATCGAAAAATGGATCTCTTTCAAGACTATAGTTTGAAAACATCCGATATTTTAATCCAAAGTTTTGAAATTGAATTGATCGAAAAATCGGTTAATTGAACTGGTCAGTTTAATTTCAGTTTGGTGTTTTTAAAAATTCAAAAGGTATTGGTTTGATTTCGGTTAATCAATTTAAAAAATCGGTGATTAATTGAACCAAACAGTATACATATTTTTCTATATATTTATGTATATTATATATTATAAATTAATAAATACGTGTTATATATATTTATAATATATTATTTATTATTTAAAATATAATATTTTATAGAGTCAAAAAAATAAAAAAACTGACAAACCGAACCGTTAGTTAACCAAACCGGTCAACCGACTGATTTCAATTTGGTTCTGATTACCTGTTTTCCAAAAACCACTACTATCGGTTCGTTTTACAAAAAAAATCCACCCAAACCATAAGCACCCCTAGGTCAGTCTAATTGAATTAGAATTTCCTAGTTATGACTCCGAGTTTTATTTTAGACCCAAAACCGTCTGATTGGGATTCGGATCGGATAGTTCGACTATTTGACCTAAGAATTAAACAGTGGTCAAAATGGTTTCGGTCCAATATCAGTTCAGTTTTCAAAACCATGTTTTAATCAATAAATTTTGTCTAATTGGATTGATTTTTAGCCTCAAAACCTTAAAATTGGAGCCTATAAATTGAATAGCTTTTTCTTTAGGGTTAATGAAAACATTAAATAGTTGAGCTTGTTACACAGCCTTGCCCTTGCCCATCACGACTCAGAGACTTTTGACTTGGAGTTATTCGGGATTAGGTAAAGGAGCTGAAGGCTGAAGCCTGAAGCTTTACTTCCCTATGTTGTGCTAGACTGCTAGCCTGGCCTCTATTGAATTCTAGCTGAAAAGTTTCGTCCTAAAAATATTTAATTCAACCAAGCTTTTTAGTTTTACTGAAATTTCTTATTTTATTTAGGTGATCCAAACTGAAAGTCTAATAAATTATTTCGAAAAAACTTTTATCAACGTAAAATGGATTAACAAGAACTAATTGAACTATAAGAAAACAGAGTTTGCGCTGTCAATAGGTTGGAAACATTTCCAATTTAAAAAATATTTAGCCTTTCGGATAGACTGCAAATACAAATATATACATTGCAAATACATTGTTTTAGAAATATAATATATAAGGTTTCGTATTGTACATATTTTGCATTTGCACTTTTTCCAAACTGTGCCTTATGAAAAGCACAAATATAAATATGTTTTCTTTTCACAAAGTCTTACTTCTGGAATTTTAAACCTTGTATTTGTATGATATATATTTGTAATTTTTCCAAACTGAATGAGTGTAAATACAAATATAATCAATGCAAAACCTTATATTAGACATTTATAAGCTTTGTAATTGCACTCTTCCCAAACAGAGCTTTATAAATTCATTTCATAGAGAAACAAATGTAGTCTCATGAAAAGAGTTGAGATCAGCCCCCCACAAGGGGGTGCCCTATAACGTCCCACAGTACATCCCCGCATATATTAGGAACATCTCCCAATAAGTACCAAAAGTGGTGTCTGGTGAGGTAGCATTGGGAGATGTTTCCAATACACAGCGGAGATGTACTGTGGGACTTTATGGGACGCCCCCCTGTGGGGAGTGCTGATTTGAACTCTCATGAAAAATTATACAAGTCATTCACACACAATCATTGTAGAACCCTGACCATATAAACTTCAACTTGTTAGAATTTAAGAGACGAAGCTTCTCAAGAATTTTATAGCAAATTCATGACTTAATTTGAGCGGAGGGTTTTCTTTGTTCATTGAGAACTAGGGGCCTGTTTGGAAGGGTTGAAGCTTTGATTGAATTGCCTTCATCGAGCTGCTTTAGAGAAGTCACTAATAGACCCCATCTGTTAGGGCTTTCTCCATTGATTGAGCTATGTTGCCTGAGTCACTTTGGAGAAGCTACCTAAGATAGCTTTACTGGAAAGTCAAATTTTCAATTCAGGTAAAGCTTCTTTTTGGCTTTCTGGCTTTTTACCAAACATTATGGGTTTTCTCAGCTCATGTAATGCCAGAAGCCACTGTGTAAAAGCCCTCCCAAACGAGCATAAAGTTTAATTGGAAAGTCATATTTTTAGCATAGTTATTTTGGGCTTTCCGGATTTTTAACCAAAATTATTCTATCCTATTTAGGTGGAAACCAACTTGTAAAGCTAAAAGCCACTATGTGAGAGCCCTCACAAACAGCACTAGAGCTGAAGCTTTGATTAAGCTGCTTTGAAGAAGCTGTCAATGACAGTGCTTTTCTGATGTTTCAGCGAACATAGCTTATGGCCTGTCTGTATGTGGTCCATCTTGTAAAGCCAGAAGCCGGTTCATGAAAGCCCTCAAGTTTGGAAAGCCCATCATTTGGAAGGAGTTTCACGAAGCGGCTTCTGGCTCTGCAAGATAGACCCGCCCAAACAGCCTATAAGCCATTTTTGGTGAAAACCCCGGAAGCTCAAAATGACTGCCGAACAATTATAGGGCGAGAATATGTAGCTCTGTCGCTTCTGTTTAATCTTATTTCCATTGAGCCAGGCCCAGATTCCACCACCACCACCACCACCACCAGGTCCAAATGCTAGCGAACATTGCTTGGGCCTTCAAAGTTCAAACCCATGAAGATCTCCCCTCAATTTGTCTTGTCCCACGTGCGTTGTTCGTGCGAGTGTAGGAATTAAGAGGAGAAAACTAAAAGCAAAAAAACTGAAGTGCTCCTCCAGTTGAATAGTAGAGCAGAGGATCTCTGGCCTCTTGATGCAGCGGAGGGGACTTCAGATCGGTTGGTTTAATTTTCCTGCAGAGGGAGGGAGAGATGTCAGACCTGGACAGACAAATAGAGCAGCTAAGGAAATGCGAACCTCTGAAGGAATCCGAAGTGAAGGCTCTCTGCCTTAAAGCCATGGAAATCCTCGTTGAGGAGAGTAATGTTCAAAGAGTCGACGCGCCTGTCACTGTATGCTATACTTAACCCATTTCAATTCAATTCCATCTCCTTTTTTTTATTCACTTTGTGGTTCTATCTGCCCTAGTTTCCCCCCTTTCTTTTGGGTTTCTTTTATATTGTTTTTTCTTCCCTATCTTTATTATTTTTTGAGCTAGTGATTAAATGAGAACATGGACTGATGGCCCTTAGTTTTCCAAAAATTTCTGAATTAGGTTTGATCTGATTTTGGATTTCACTGTTGGAAGCGTTGTTTGGGGTTTCTATGTTTGTGAAAGGTTATCTTACAAACTCACAATTTATTGCTTTGCATAGAACTGTTTTTTTCCAGGTCATTTGAGATCTTCTGATTTCTGTTCTATCTGAAAACTTAAAACCGGGTTCAATGAAGGGGAACCTTTTGATTAACAATTTTAACTATAAACTCCACGTAGGACGAACTAAAACCTGCTAGTTCACCCTTATGGATATGGTTTTATCTACATCTAATCGCCTGTTACACAAAGAGATAACTGTAAGACTGCTTCGTTATTATGTGGTGCTTGTTTAGTTAACGCTATCATGAATCATAATGCGCTTTTACTATGATTTCCACTTGATACCACCATTAGCACTTAGAAACTCATATTCTTCCAACCGGGATGATACTAACGTGAGTCCTGGATTCATCTTAGATATAATAACTTATTTTTTTTTTATTGTTATTCCGATTATTGTTGTTCTAGAAGTCCTGAAAGATTATATAAATTGAATTAGTTTGTCAGTCTCCCCCCCTTTTTTTTTGAGAAAAGGTAAGGTAAACCTTATTGATAAGAAATACTAGTACAAAGGCCCCCCAAAGGAACACCTTAGATGGGGAAACAACCCAAACATAACAAGATTACAGATGCCATAGGCTCCTTGAATTTAGCCTAGCCCCCAACTGAGCAGCCTGAATTCCCTTCGAAGCCAAGACCCAAGAAATCAACTTTCCAAAAGAAATAGATATCAGGTCTTCCGGATCCTTATAGATATTCTGAAATAGTCTTTTGTTCCTTTCTTCCCAAATGGTACTAATGACTGCAGCCGGAATGGACATCCACACAGCTGAAGCAAGCTTCGACAATCCCTGTAACCCCCAGCTTCACAACATCTCCTTCACCGAAACTGGCATTGACAAAGCAAGACCCACCGAACAGAGAAAACGATTCCAAATTCTAGCAGATATTGAGCAGTGTAGAAACAGATGACTGTTATCTTCCACTTCTTGACCACATAACACAGCTCTCATCCTGAATATGAACCCCTCTCTTAAATAGATGGGCTTTAGTTAAACACCTGTCTAGAGTTGCAACCCCCACCAGAGCATTGGTTTTTGAGGGAGAGGTTGGATTCCAGATTCTGGAAGCAGGCATGTCTTCTGAAACACTCGTTGTCAGGTGAGTGGCAAATGACTCGACAGAGAAGAGGCCATCTGTGCTCCAAGTCCAGGATCAGCTGTCTTCTTTAAGCAGATTTAGGGATTGAAGGGAGAGCAGTTCGAGTAGATCAGCCAGGTCTGGAATTTCCCAATCCTGAAAGTTCCTTTTGAAAGAAGGTTACCAGGCTACTGAGTTCCCCACCACCTCAAAACATTCAGCAACCACTGCATCTTGATGATCAGATAACTGAAATAGATGTGGGAATAACTCTGAAAGAGGAGTGTTTCCACACCGTGGATCTTTCCAGAAGGACAGCTTATCACACTTCCCAAGGTTGGGGCTTAAACCTCTACTGAAAATGGGGAGAATGTCCATTATTTTCCTCCATACAGAGCATCCTAAGGAGGGGGGAGAAGTGGTAATCCAATCTCCTCTATCTGTGTTGTATTTAGTTGCCATTAACTTCCTCCACTAGTAGTTTCTTTCCAACCTGAACCTCCAGATCCATTTTCCAAGAAGAGCCTTATTGAAGGTCCTCATTCGCTTAATACCCAAACCTCTTTTACTTTTTGGAGAGAACACCTTATCCCGATTCACCAAGTGGATTTTCTTCATGTTCTCCTCCCAATCTTTCCATAGAAAGTCCCTTTGCAGCCTCTCAATTCTTTGAGCCACTTTACTTGGAATTGGGAATAAGGAGAGATAAAATGCCGGCAACTTGGATAAGGAGCTTTTTAAAAGGGCAATTCTGCCCCCTCAAGGACAAGTATTTAGCCTTCCAAGTTGCCAATTTCTATTCCAACCGCTCTAAGACTGGTTCCCAGATCATTACTGAAGTGCATTTTGCTCCTAGAGGGAGTCCAGATACTTTGTTGGAAGGAACCCCACCTAACAAACTAATCTCTCTACCAAGTCCTTTGCATTTTCCACTTTTCCCAAATCCCACTGGGATCAAACAACTTTTGCTCCAATTAACTTTCAGTCCCGTCACAACTTCAAACCAGCTTAGAACTCCCACTAATAAGTTGAAGTGATCTTCATTGGCTTCCATAAAACATAAGGTGTCGTCTGCGAATTGTAGTACCTGAACATTCTCCCCTCCTGGAACCACCTCAAAGCCCTTCCACCACCCCCTCCCCTGTTTTTTGAATGAAATTTGTAAGTATTTCCATCACACAAGTGAATAGAGGGGAGAGAGGGTCTCCTTGTCTAAGCCCCTTAGAATTAAAAAAAAAAAACCCACATATTGGCCATTTAGGATGACTGAAAACTTGGGAGAAGTGACACAGACTTTTATCCAGTTCCTCCAAATCTGCCCAAAATTCATTGTCATAGGCCAATTGACATCAAGGTCAATTGACATTGTCATAGGCCTTTTCAAGGTCAAGTTTACAAATCAGGCCCAGATTTCCCTCCCTTAACCTTGAATCAATTAATTCATTTGCTACCAAGGCATTGTCTAACATTTGATGACTGGGGACAAATGCAAACTGATTTTGAGAGATCACACTTAGCAGTACCTTTTTCAACCTCTCTGCCAAAAGGTACTGTCGAGTGTGCTGACGTGGCCTCCTCTTGTAAAACTGATTAAGTGCTTTATGTTGGTCTGTTCCAGTAGGCTTTACAATTCCTCCCTCTTTTAGAGCGAACTTACCCTCAAGGTCTAATGTGGGAAAATTTGATTGCAGATCCAAGTAGGATTCTGTTATGGGCCTGGGCATAGGATCTCGTCACGGGTCGGTCCACGGGGAGAACCTCTAGCTTCCCCTTGCCCTTCCCTCTGCGTGCAGACCCTATTGTGGTAACCTAATGGGTGATTTGTCCAAGAGATCACTCGAACTCTCCTCACTCTTTCCTAGACTGAAAACTGAATGACTTTATTCCAATTCACAGCTCCTTAAATAGGAGATTACAAGAGGGAAGTCCTTATTGTATTCGATTAGGCTAGGATAATCCAACTTTAAATCAAACTCCTACTTCTAATGGTAAACAAAACTCCTACTAAGAACAGAAGATAAGATAAGGATAGATGGGATAAGGGATAAGGTAAGCAGGTAGCGAGTTGGCAAGAAGAGCTATCGTGGCAAGATAAGTGTGGACCCCTGATGAGCTGTCGTGTGGGCTCCTCCTTATTGCTGCTGCCTCCTGGGCAACGAGCTTGTCCCCAAGCTCGAGATCTGGATAGGCATTGTGAAGATCAGACCAGGGAATCCAGGTGGCCTCAACTGATGGTAGTTCGTCCCACTCCACGAGGACTTCTAAGGTACCCCGATTGACGCGAGACCGGACAAGTGCTCGAGGTTGGAGAATGGGTCTGCCATCCTTCAAGGGGGGTAGGGAAGGTACTTGATCAGGAGGAGTCCCTGTAAAAGGCTTCAGGAAGGACACGTGGAAGGTATCATGTAGTCTGCTGTGTTCTGGTAGCTCGAGCTGATATGCGACCTTCCCGATCTACCGCAAAATCTTGAAGGGCCCGTAGAACTTGGGGGCTAGTTTAGGGAAGGCTCTGCGTCTGATGGAGAGCTGCCGATAGGGTTGGAGCTTCAGCCAAATGAACTGTCCTGGCTTGAAGGTTAACTCTCGGTGGCATTGATCGTAGGCGTTCTTCATGCGTGCCTGAGCCTGCTGTAAGCGTTGGGAGACTTCGGCTAGGAGGGCATCGCGATCTTGTAGGCTGCGATCAACTTCTTCCAACCGTGTTGAACCGGGTTCGTAAGACAATAGACAGGGAGGGTCCCGACCATAAACGACCCGGAAAGGAGTCATGCCAAGAGAGGAGTGATAAGACGTGTTGTAACAGTATTTGGCCCACGGAAGGTACTCCACCCAGTGCCAGGGCTGGTCTCCCACAAAACAACGGAGGTACATCTCTATTGTTCGGTTTACCACCTCCGTTTGGCCGTTAGTCTGCGGATGGTAGGTGGAGGAGAAGGCTAGGGCTGTTCCCTGCAGTCGAAATAGCTCCTTCCAGAAGGTGCTAGTAAAGATCGGGTCTCTGTCACTTACGATGGATTCAGGTAGCCCATGCAATCGGAAGATGTGGGTGAAGAAGGTGTGGGCCACTGAAACCGCGCTGTAAGGGTGGGATAAGGTAAGGAAATGAGCATATTTGGAAAAACGGTCCACTACCACAAATAAGATCGACTTTCCGCCAACCTTGGGTAGGCCCTCGATGAAGTCCATGGAAATATCTGCCCAGATCTGAGTTGGAAGTGAAAGTGGTTGGAGGAGGCCAGCTGGGTGCAAGTTTTCCCACTTTTGTTGTTGGCACATAGAGCAGTTCTGAATGAAGTCCCGCACCGCATTCTTCATACCCTGCTAGTGGAAATCAGCGTGGATGCGGTGCAAAGTCTTCTGGACACCTTCATGCATAGAGTTGTGTATGCTGGAGATGACGGAGGGGATTAAGGGACAGTCGGTTGGGAGATAAATCCGTCCCTTGTATAGTGCCAACCCGTCGTGCATGGACCAGTTTGGGTTGGTCGTTCCGGCTTGTATTTTCTGGACAAGATCGTTCCACTCTGGTGATTGTGGTAGTATGTTCTGAATGTCTTCCAGTAGGGTGGCTCGGGGCTGTGAGATCGCATGGAGGAGCATATTGTCTTCTTCTCG